TGCTCTCAGGAGGAAAAAAAAAAAAACAAACAAACAAAACCCCACCACACCAGAGCAAAAATGTGGTTAGCATTTGTAGATGGGTATTATTTAGATAGGAAGGTCTACTGCAGACAGCAGAATGGCTACACAAACAGGCAACAGAACAGGAAGCAAACTACTCTTCCAAAAACTGAAAAGTAATAGAGGTTGGGAGGAGCAATTTAGAACTATATACAAATTACTGTGTGGTTCAGTAACAGTTACTACTCTGGCAAAGCATTAACCAAGAGTTAAGAGCCCAAAGGAGTAACTCATCAACAAAAAAGTGTTTGAAGAAAAGAAACAAGATGCTAGTTTACAGTAAAGACAGTGGCTATTAATAATATTCAACATACAATGACAAAGAAAGGGCATATCCATACCATACAGACTATCTATTCCATTTAGAGTCCTTCTTAGCAATGGAAAGAATTTATAGTATAACTAAAAGCTGTGGGTCAACTTTCTGTTAAAAAAAAATCTCAGTAATCTGATTTCAGAAAAGTCATTAAAACTGATTTAAAAGTATTTATTACATTTAAATCCTTCAATCCTAGCTTGCAAAACTATTCCTTTTCCAGCCAGCTCTACTTAAGATACTTGCCCATACTCATTCTTGCAGCTGCTAAATGCGTTCCCCTATTTATGAGAACAAAAGTAGATTCCAAGTTTTCACTAATAAGCCAAGATCTGAAGGCATATCTCCCAAAGATAAAGGAACAGTTTAATCAACTCACTAAATCATTTTGTACTAGGTTAAGAAAAAAATATTTAGAACTTTACCTCTTGTTGCTTCTGAAGCCTCTCAATAGCATTCTTTTCACGAGAAATCAAGGCTTCAGACTTTGCTTGATGTGTCTTCTCTAACTCATGACGCAGCTCAGAGATTTCTTTCTGGGTCTGCACTTTCTCCTCCATTTTAATCTTTGCTATTTCAACTTCTTTAAACTGTTCTAGCTTAAATAAAGGAGAAAGAGTGGGTTAAATAGGCCTATCTTCAAATCGACTGACAATCCCTTCTCAGACAATTCTAATTTCACCTAGAAATTCTTGTTAGGAGAGGCATGATAATTCAATGAAAATGATAATTCAATGAAAATAAATTACAATGAAAATAAATACTATCTGCATGTCTCACATAGTTTTCATTCGTTTATCTGGCATCCCAAAGCAGAACTTGTACAAAACTAATAGCTTTAGACGAGATCAAAAGAGAAGCCTATGAAGAAAAAACTGCAGAAGCGATACTCTGCTTGCAATTAAGGAATAGCCACACTCTAAGTCATCCTCTGACACTGTAGCTATTCTTGCCCCTTTTTCCAAGAACCACTTTTGACTAGTGTTGCAAGAAATGGTAGAAGCAGACCCATCCTGAATTGCTCAGGAACAACAGAAATTCATCTGAACACAAAGGAAGTGCCAAACATGTAAAAAAATGCAGACTATGTAACTCCACATAAAGAGGGTTACAGAAACGTAAGTCCTGATTCATAGACTTAGCACAACTGAAAAAAAAAGTGAATACATACAAGCAGGGCAGTATGCATCTTGAAACTGCACAGAAGAATCATAGGGAATGTGCCTCCATACAATGTGTGAAGTGCAATCTATGCAAGAACAAACGGGGTTATAAAGAATTATAGTGAAAGTTTGGAAGAAAATGGTAAGCAGGCATAAAAGACAAAAAATGTGTGGAAAAAAATAGCAAAAGAATAAAAAGAGAATAGTAGAAAAATAGTGAGACTGCAGAAAATGAGGTTAAAGAGGGGAAAAGGCACAGGAGGAATGGCTGATCAAGGAATTCAGGTCTGTGGGCATAAATTTTGTGAAAAATTAAGGAAATGGTGAGACAATACAGCATCACTTATACATACACAAACTGGATTAGAAATGTCTTACAGTAATTCACATCACATTGCTAAGGAATGCATGTAAAGTTAATTGAATTTAGAAGTGATTTATAGCTGGTTAAGATTCCAATCTCCTTTGTTGCAACTGCTTTGCTTAAACTGAGACAAACTTAACAACACACAAATTAACATGTTTTACATACTAAGAAGACAGTGTCTGCTAGGGAATAAAGACTAATGAAAAATTAACGTAAAATACATTGGCAGTTTTAAGTCTTCGTTCTTCTACTTGTCTAGCTGAATAAACATGACTAAACTGATTTCCTTGGTTTAAATGCAGATGACTGGCTTTAAAAGTTTGTCTAAGAATTCTAATTGATTATCAGATTATTGTTTTTATATCCAAATCAACTACTGATCTTGACAGAAATTCGTTGAAAAAAAAGCATATTTAAATGAACTAGTTAAATTATTCTGTCCAAATAAACAGTTGATCTTGACAGAAATTTATGGGAAAAAAACCCCTGTATTTAAGTGAACTATAGTATATTCTCTCTGCTCCATTTTTTCAGACATAAGAATTATCCATGGATTATTGACAACAAAAATTTCTTATTTTATTCCTAAAATGAAAGAAAATTATCTAAAAGAGCTGTCTTCAATTAAAGGAAGAAAAACCCCATAGAAATAATGCATAATATTGTCTGTTACGATTTTAGTGTTTCTGTATGTTTTGAAATAGTATGCAAATTCTCATCAATATTAAAAATTCAATCAACTATCAAGCTACACAACAGCAATTCATGCCTCAGTTACTATGCATTATATTGAAATTCAAGCTTCAAAACATTAACTAGGAAGGAAAATCAATACTATGACTAAGCAGAGTAAACATTTCTCCATAAAACTAAATAATCAAAGAGCAAATAAAATTTACCAAATTAAGACAGTCAAAATAAGAAAAAGCCATGTCATAAATTAATATAAAAATAGAAACCTTAACAATCTGTGCACATTTAAAAAAAAAAAAGGGAATGGAAAAAATATATACATGCTATATCATCAAATTAACAATTGATATTGGATTATTGATAGATAGCCTTTTGTGTTTGATGTAACTCATTATTAGATCATTTCTTTCAACGTACCTTAAGTATTAAAAGTCTGTAATGAGCAAAGTCAAAATCAACAAATCTCTCTCTCAAAATGAATGACCAGAGTTATACCTTTTGACACATTTCTGCTTGAAGCTGCTTCTCTATTTCTTTTCTATATTCCTGAAGTTTTACTTCTAAAGATTCATATTTCTGATGCTGGGGATAAGAGTCTGCAAACTGTTCATCAATCAGCTGAAGCTTCTCAGCTATAAAAAGAGCGACATATCCATCATAATTTAAAAGCAGTCACCACAGTTATCCTACCCAGGACTGTAGGAACCTGTTTCTAAGAAGTTCCTTAGTTTACTTAAGTAGCACTGTCACAGAAAGACATGTGTAGCACAAAAGCAGAGGCAGCACAGAAATGCCATTTATCAGCTCTATGCCCCACAGCCTGTACCTAGGAGGATGCACTTAGCTGTTTAGGGACTCTCTGTGGTATTAGTCATTCATCCTCTTTATCATGGATGGACAAGAATTTTCTTTTGTATGAAACTTTTAGGTATTACTAACAGCATGCATATTATAATTCAAGAACTCCCAGTCTATGCCTATCTTTCACTGAAACACTATCATAGAAAGAGAAGAAAGGCATGCATTTATGTTTTCCAGAATATATTTCACCATATAACATTTACATTGCATCTAAGACATAATAGCGAAATGCCTAAGAAAACATCCAAGTGATTAAAAAAAAGAAAATAAATCATAACAGGACTTTTGTCTTATTCTAAGAAAGATTAGAAAACCAATGTACTAGTGATAGGTATGACCTTCACTTATTATTACTTTAGGCTGCATTTGAGTAAGTGTTGAATGAATATCATTCATACAGTGTATTAATCCACATCGTTTACCAATATGAAAATACCTGGGGAGACGCGCTTGCAGAGGTTGCACTTACCAAGAGACACTCTGTAAAGAGGCACTGAGGTTGTCTGAGTTTCTGTGTCATGAGTTTCCTTACTTAGATGGTGCTCTGTAAGTTCGATCAAAATCTGCATAAGAAAACCTATTAAGATCAAATATATTAGTTAGATCTGATTTCATACCAAAACTGAATTTGAGCCTGTAACTAATGAAGTTATTTTCACTGGACAAGAAAACCTATTCAATTTACAGAAAGAACCAACTATTTAAGCAAAAATATATACTAGTAAACTATTAAGATTCTAAAATAAGCATAATCCAGTCCATCTCATTCTGCAAAAGCTCTCTTTTTGCAACTTTTCCTTTCATCCACATCTCTTAGTCTCTCAATATCCTTTGAGAGAGCAGATTATTACTACTTTAATTATGAGGTCGTTAGGCAACAAGGGGTTTCTGAAGATCAAGCTACTTCAGGCTATGCAATACAGCTAGATTTCATCATGCAGACATAAGAATTATTTCTTATATAAACCAACAGAAAGTCAAATAAATCTTTAACTGGTCTTTGAAGTAAATTATGCAAGCTAATGCAGTCAGCTATAAACACAAACCAAAACCTCAGTTTGCCAAAGTCAGCAAGAAAAGCTTCCAAAGAACATTATATTTAATACTTGATTACACATTTTCTTCATATTTCTAATGTTCAAGTAATTTATTTTGTTGGTGAATGTTAACACTTAATACAGACCACAAATACAAGTTGGATAATCCTGACATATAATATTCATCATCCTGGTGCACGGCAAGTTTCAAAATTCAACTGAACCTATATTATTCCATACCAACATACGCTCAAGAAATTTGAATTTCTATTGATCGCATCTTAAAAATGAAGCTGACACAATTATCCTTGTCTGCATCATCTATAAAATCTTGTACCTTTATTCTCCTTCCGAGTTCCTGAAGTCTGTAAGAAACAAAAGATGTTTTAGCCAGTCTATTTCATGACAACTGTAATTTAAGCTTATTTTCAAGATCAAACTAACGTTACCAGTGATTTGTAAAGACTGGATTTTGGATTGATCCTCATTAGTTGAAGAAGATCTTGCATAGTCCACAGCTTTGGGAAAAAAAAAAAAAAAAAAAGATAAGTTAGAAAAGGTTAACTAATTTAAAATAATTTCAACATTTAATACACTATTTTACAGTTGTAGAATGTTTTTCACTCAAGAAAGATTTGTTTATCACCTTGTAAAACCATTTTCAGAAGCCTGCTGTTCTAGTACAACATTTACTTATCTCCACTACCTAAGACATATGACAGCCAGTACGTAGCTTCCTGATCAACTGAAGCTGTGAAAATAGATGTGTTTATTTCCCCCTCACTCTGGATATATGCTCTTGCTACTTTCCTTGCCCCCTTTCTTATCATACAAATCAGATGAATTCACCAACCCAAATGACAACTAACAACTCACCAGGTCAAAATATTTTCAGTTAGAAACAACTTCACCGTAGCACATACTCATAGAGAGGGCAAGGACTGCCTTTTTTACCCACAGCCTGTAGTTAGAACAGCTTAAACTGACCATGAACCACACTTTCAGGAAACTGAACAGCCAAACAAGAGGCTAGCTTTAACTGGGATGAAAATGTGCTCTGCCACACAGCCTCACAAATGGTCATGCCAGGCTGTGGCTATGTGTGAAGCAAGTGCAAGGTTAAAAGGCTTGTGGCGTTATTGCCAATTTAAAGTATTCATGAAAATGGCCCTGAATAATGAAATCTTTTATGATCAGTTGTATTTGTGTTTGTATTTCACTATCACAAAAGGGGATTGTGTTGAGTTCTGTTGGAATATGACAACTCCCAGAAATCAAAGCTCCTGGAAGTCTTAGAAGGGGTAAATTACTGAACTTACCTTCTTCTTCTCTAATCCACTTTCTGGAAAGAAAACAGAAAGCGAATACTCATAGCCACATCTCTGCAGGTGATCTGCCACCAAGCTATTGGAAGCTGTGATCAAAAGTGAAGAGTCATCACTTGGAACAGCCTGTGGCCGAAGTTCTCCACTTAAAATTGGGTGCATTAGTTCATGGATTAGCTGGTTTCGGAGCTGTGTCTGATATAGAAAAGACATGATATTCTCAGCTTACATGTGATTCAATGAGAGATTTTATTTTTCAAAATTCATGGGGAGTCTCATTTTACTTGTACATGTTTTATTACAACCTACATAACAGAAATGGGCAGACTACCTTTGGCAAAATTTAGAAAGCACACCGTGCCTTTCTTCAAAACACTCTTACGGTGGCTACAGTGATCTCTGACTTTCCCTCAAGATGTATCAAACGTAGGACTGAAAAATAGTATTGTTCTCAGTCAAGAACTCACTTAAACTCCATTCTGATATCCCCATTTAATTTTTAGATCTCCCTCCTCTCTGGCTTAAATAAAGCCTGCCTGATGTGGCCTCAATTTCAGGTGTACTTGGAAAACTCACTAATCCTCTTCTGAATCTCCTATCAAAAAGCTGTCAATGCCATCAAAAAAGCAGATGGGAAAATAAACAGGAAATTCAATGTCTTTAATATCAATTATTTTGTAGGGAAGCAAAAAAGTACTAACGAAAGAAACCTACAGGCACTAATAATAATTAAACTACGTTTCTTATTATTTGCATTCAGTGAGTTACAGTAGAGAGAAAAAAACCAAAAGTAACCTAAAATTCTCTTCTAAAGTTCAAGTCTCCCTCCTGCAAAAGAAATAAGTAATAATTTTCATTATATAATTATGCAAGTTGTTTATAGCATACTAAGAAATCATGACAGAAATAATGTTTTAAACTTTCAACAGCAGGTATGCAACAGTGACAAAGCTGATTAAAGTGGTAGTTACAAAAAATGGGACAAAATACTTACCAAAACTTAACAAAGCCAGATCATCAGTCTAGCCTTATATTTTAGCACAGCGTTCTACAGAAATTAGGCTGTCAATAGAAACAAAGACAACTGAAAAAATTATTTTCCTTATGAATTTCTGAACTTGTCCAGTTTCAAACAACTTTGACAGAGGTGACGTCGTCTCAAAAACAAGGGAGCCCAGCAATCTCTTATACATCTTGTGACAGAGTGAAGGTAGAAAACATTGGGCTAAATCCCCATCCCTACTATTGGAAAGGAAAGCAGAAATCAGCCGTTGTATGCTGGCCACTCAGCATACCTGTAGCTCCAGATCCACTCTGACTCCTAACAGAAGCAGATCAGACCATGAGAAAGTTGAGAGTATTCTCATTGGAAGTAATCCTTAAGAAACCCAACTGTAGTAATTCTTCAGCTCAGAAAAGCTACAAAAGTTTTCATACAATGTGCAATCTTTTAGATGAGGAAAACAGACTTAAATAGCATGCCACCTGGCAGACTATTAGTTAAGTCAAACAAGAAAAGGTTCAAGCACTGCAAACTTGGTATAAAATATACTGAGGGAGAAACAAGTTTTCAAGTTTTCCTGAACAGGGAATTCTTGGCGATAAGATTAACAATGGTATTCTCACATATAGATCTTGATTTTCATTCTTTTTTTTTTTTAATGAATTTGACAAAAAAAGCAGAATCTAAAAAATTCTGTTGGTGACATGAAGATGTACATAGAAAGATCAAGACATCATAAAAAAATGCAATCAGATGATGTTTAAAGACTAGCAAAACTGAAACCACATGAAATACAACATTTCGGCATTTAAGGCCTGATACAAATTTCTGCTATAACACAAGAGATATATTGTTTTGAAAAAACAAGATGTGGAAGTGTCAGTCAAACAATGACTAGCACTACAAATATAACATGCCTCAAAAAGAGATATATACAGCCTTCCACAGACTTTCCCAGAAAATAGGTAAGAATTAATACAATTTTAAACTTTGCCTGGAAAGCTCACGGTCTATTGCCTTTAGAAAAAAGGGGGAAAGACTTCAAAGCAATGCAGTGAACTACTGGGGTAACTGGCAATGAGACTACTGCACCTTGACTTGCCTAGCATTGTGGACCAGAATGCTGAAGAAAAGGTACGACTGCTGCTTGTAAATCATCAACAGGAGTAAGAGCTACTTAAACTGAAGGATACTTTCAGCCCAAGAAAAAAGGCCAGAGCAACCATAAATAAATGCAGGCTACAAAGCAGAACAAAGTTTCACTCTTGAACACAACCATATTCTAAGATGTTCTCCTGAATGAGCAGACTGGGAGAAAATATCCCAGTGTTAAAATAGAACTGGAATTTTTTAGGAAGATAATTCCTATACCGTGCTTACTTATAGTAGGTAATAAACAGACTCTGTGACCTAAGAGATCCTTCCCAATCCTGTATTATCATTCACTCCTCTCTTCCCTGCTTTTTTCTCAAGCATGGAAAATTTCAAAGACCCTATACAGGCCTTCAATCTTCCTTAAGAAAACTCGAAAAGCACTTCTGTTTATAAAGAACCTCGTGTCTGGGGAGAAAAAAAAAAAAAAAAGAGCAAAAAGCTGAATACAAATTAGGCTGTGGCAAAATCAATACATTTGGGGAGAGTGGGAAACCCATTTATTAAGCATGACTGTCACTGCTTTCAGTGTTAAGTAATACAGCGAATCATTGGTAGAACCTGCTAAAAACAACACACACCTTAAGTGTGTCCAGTACACCTCGGTTCTTAAAAGTCTGATAGAGCCTTTTCCGGAGTTCATCTTGGGACAGCGTCTCCCTTTCAACCGAAGCCATCCTGCCCTACAGTATCAGGGGGAAAAAAAAAAAAAAAAAAGAAAAAAAAAAGAAAAAGAAAAAGAAAAAAAAAAAAGGCATTACTGCCTCCCAGCGAGACCCACGGCCAGCGAGAGGGCCAGCTCCCCAGCCGCCCCAGCCTCCCCCTCACGCAGGCCCAGGCTTTGCCGGGGCAGCCGCCCCGCTACCCACAGAGAGGGCGGCAGCTCCGGCCCGCGCCGCGCCCGGGCCCTCTGGCTCCTGCCCGAGGAGCAGCAGCGGCGAGCTGTGCCCGCAGCTG